CACTGATCTAGCCAACTTCATGTGCTGCAGGGTGCATGCCAGTAAATTCACCTGCTGTCTCAGACGTGTTTACTGACATGCCTGAAGTGGAGCTAAGTTATATCTGCTTCTAGGTGGAATGCGTGTGGAGCAGACTTGTGCTTCACCACTGCAATCCATAGCCCAATCCTTTGATGATGTAGAGATGCCCTAAGTGGAGATTCAGACACTAAGGGCAAGCTTCTGCTTTGGATAACATTGAACAGTACAGCATAGAGTAGTCCTTGAGGAGAAAGATAAATGCAAGGATGCATTTACTCTGTTAATGTATGCCATAATATTTACAACATATGTTGCTTGGGTAGGTCAGTGTTACAGGGAAAAATCTCATTTCTATAATGTTCTGACCTGAGTGCTGTGTATCTACATTTTACACTATTAAGACTAACCTTTTGTATTTATACAACTTGTATTCAGATATGGTATACGATCTCCTTTTTTATCATCTAAGTACTCTTGCAATTGAATTGTCAGGTAACCTGTTCATTCTCCTTCTGAAAATGTACACTTAGATGGACCTTCTTGGTCAAAAGATTGATTTTGTTGGAGCATACTTCTTTTTTGTGAAGTTTGGAACCTGTCACTTCAGGTTGTGGACAGTCAAGTCCAAGGATCACTGGGGGTACTAGGAGAGAACTGGGGTTGGGTGGAAGGAGCGGATTCCAGGGACGAACTAGATCAGGAGCTAGGAGGGGTCAATCTAAGAACTGGGTCTGAGGGCAAGCTGAGTCAGGAAGCTGAAGGATCAGACAGAGAATATGGAGTCAGAGGATGAGTCAGGTTGAAAGGCCAGGAGGTCACACAGAGAGTAGGGTCCAGGGATAAGCTGTAAGGGAGCCAAAGAATTAGATAGAACATGGAGTCAGGGAGCAAACTGAATTGAGAAGCCAGGAGATCCAACAGAGGGCAGACAGACCACAAGCCATAGGAAGGACCGCTGGCTCTAACATCTCAGACACAGTCAGTAGCACTTGTGAGCTGTAAAGAGTACATTGCATCCCATCAAAGGATGTAGTGGCAGTTGCACTGCCTCTGAGTAAGTGCCTAACTGCTGCAGGAAGACCCTCCTGAGGCAGAAAGCCTCCCTGTTTCTCACTGGAGCAGGGCAGCTCCACAGTACCCTTACTTTGAACTATAACTTGGTATAATTCAGCCTATAATTATTGGAAATCCTCTCACTTTCTGTTATAATTTATTTCAATTTGCCAATTTTATAGGTACTACTCTATGTCAAATATTTTAGAAAACAGTGTGCTGGTGAGGTACTTTATAAAGTACCTTATACTATCTAATCTATCCGTCTACTGATACATCATACAACCACTACGTTCCAACCACAGTCTTAGGACTGGTATGGCATCTCTTTTCCAAATCCAGCTGAAAAACTCAGCATCCTATTTTTTTCCTTTTACTAGCTCTTAATCCTAGTCCACAGATTTACATTCTCAGGAAAATGTCCAGGATCTGGTGTATTCTATTTATTTGGCCACGACACTTGCTGCAGAATTGTTCTCTATAATTTCAGCTTTCATTCTTTTTTATCCTTATTATTCTAGATATAGGGGATTTTTTTCCTTGAATAAGTATTAAAAATTGATTACTTTTACAAAATATACTACAATAGATTTATTGAAGATATTCAAAAGCACAACTGGGAATTAGGAATCTAACTCCCATTGATTTTCTGAAGACAGTGGGACTCCTCTCGGGTTTAAAGTTAAGCATGTGCTTAAGTGCTTTGCTGGGTTGCAGCCTAATGGCCCAACTACACCATCATTACTCATACTGAGAAGTCCTTTATTCCACGAGTAATCCCATTGACTTAGAAGACTTGACTTGTACAGTAAGCACTTAGGAGGGTATCACATGCTGTCTCTGTACTAGACACTTTCTGCTACTCCAATAAATTCATATTATTTGGCAAGAAACGCTGCTCTGTGAGGTCTGTAAAGTATCTAAAAATACTTATTTGTGGGAAAACATAACTACAGGTCAAATTTGGTGTTGCAATATACTACCTCTGTAGTTACATATTTTTATGGACGATTTAAAAAAGCCAGGTAATAAAAGATAATATACTTTGAATCATCCAGTGATTAGCTTTATAGCCAATGTAACAAAACCATCTTTGTGAAAACTATTCCTAACGTCATAAGATATCAGAGCCTACACATCTAAAAATCATTATTTGTATAAGACAATTGGTGATACAAATAAAAAAATAAAGCTGTTACCCCTCAATTACGTTTTCATACATAAAAAAAAAATCTTTAAAATATCCTGTATTTTTATGAAGAAGGTTTTGCAGATGTAAATGGATATTAACATTTCATTTCCAACAGAAGTTTGAAAAGAATTTCTACCCTTTTCTGGAGAAACTGAAAAAAGAGACATGGATACACTTTAAAATGCCAGTAAAGCTCCTAAAAAGAAGTTAATAATTCCTATGGAAAAAAAAATATTCTTCTTCTGAGCTGCAGCTGTTGAAGTAATTCAATATGAATATGAAATTTCAACCACTACAGATGTGTAAATCTGTATCTTGAAACTCCATAATACCAGATTCTGAATCCATGTATTGATATTGTGTTCAAATAGTTTTGTAAAAAATACCTTTTACTTATTATTCACTTAGAAGGAAGATAGAATAAATGTATAGCTACTATTTATTTTAGCTCTATGTCCATGCAGTAGGTACAGTGACATATTTTGCCATGGCAAACAAGTTGCTGTCTGTTAACATCACAAAAATATGAATTTGTTTCATGTTAATGTTCCTAAAGTACTCTTACTGGAAGAAAACAAGAGAATATACTTAAAAAAGTGTATCTTCCTTTATTTTCTGCAGGCTCCTTCCACCATACATTTAAGCATTTATTCAAATTTAACTGTGTGACCCTGAAGTTCAATGGGACTACTTAAGTTTAAAAGTTAAATAGTGTGCTTAAGTATTTTCCTCAGTCCAGCAATTTGAGACCACCGATGTTCCTCTAAGCGTCTTTGTTAACCAGCTGAAAAACATGAAGTACAATTTCTACTGAAATTAAAATGGTTATTGCTAATATAACTTATTGACAAATAATAATGGGCCACAGAGTGGTTCATCCTTGTACAGCTATATGGGGTTGGGGGACATAGAACCTTGTACAAAGGCCAGTCACAGTTGCAGGATGAGGCAGAAAGGAGATAGTTTCACAGCCATCCATACACTCTGAACATGCCTAAATAGCTTGCATGTTCGGAGTGTATGGCTAGCCTAAATAGCTAGCCCTGGAGAAGTAAGAATGCTGTTATATCCTAACGGATGGTAGAGTTTGGTTCCCTATGAACAGAAAAGATGGAGAAGGTTGTTGGTAATTCAAATCTAGTTTTTATTCTTTATAAATTTCGGTCTTTAAAATATACACAAGGAATTCTTTAAATAGTCTTTCCTCCGTGATTGCTGCATCTAAGTGTAGAGTGCATAGGTAACTATTAAAATATGTAGGGCACAGAGCTGACCCAATTTCTAATAGAAAACGTATTGCCCTTTCTTTATTTGCTCTTTAATAATGTCCTGTAAAGGCAGTGTTGCCTGAGCTGGCAACATCTCTGCTACTATACACAAAAGATTTAGACTTTACCTTACTAGATGAACCAAGATAAGGTTTATTAGGAAAAGTACTTAGCAAAATTGTAATCTTCTTTATGGGCTAGTTAACATAAAATCGATAAAAAAGGCCAATACTATTAGCAGAGGTAGGTCAGAACAAGTGTTTTATGGAAAAAATCATATAATTAAGAAACCCCCAAAAAACTGGAGATGGGCACCAAAATAAAAAATAATTCTTTCACTGCTGAAGTTATTTACAATCTTTTGTACTTCTAGGAATTATATGACCATCCCCCAGGGACATCCTAAAATATCTGTCAAAAGCACAAGTGGCCTATATATTTTCCAAACTAGGACAAACAATTTCACCACCCAATCTCCCAGCTACGTTTGTACATATCCCACAATTAGTCAGTTGCAGCCTTCATTGTATATAAACACTGCACACTCATATTTCCATAAATCTTTGAGAACGCAATAGTTTAGTTACAACCATAGTCTTTACTTTATAGAGCAACATGATTCCATTCTCAATACAGAGTGAAAAAGCATTGTAACATACTGTGACATCTGTAGGTATTATAGGGCTTGCTAGAACTGCCCTGAGCTCGTATGCCTACAGGTGGTGACAGGGTAGACCTTGGCTCTGGATCACCTGGTCTGCCAGGCAGTGGATCTTACGTTTTTCTGTCCTGCCATGACTTTGATGACCTTTATATTCCCGGGAGGCAATGCCCGCGGTGATCCTGCCTGGTCTTGATCCCTGTGTCTTCGGTGGGGCTCCAAACCTCCCCTTTCCCCCAGCCTATCCTCTCCAGATGGTGTTTTACGATGTTCTTTCGCAGCCAGGTTGCAGTGCTGCCTGTTGTAACCTTCTCTGCACACCAGGGTGTCCTAATGCCTCTTTTGGGTACACCCTTCCAGGGGCCGGTCTCAGCCTGTGATCAAACAAAAAAGACAGCAAAAGAAATAACAGAACCACCCCCCCCCCCCCCCACCCCCAGCTGCTTCTCAGCCTTCTTATCGGGCTCTGGCAATATCCCCAGAACAAATCCCTTTGTCCATTCTCTGCTGCGCAAGCCTGCCCTGCACCCCTATGAACGTTCACAGTCTTTCGGGGTCTCTCCCCCTGTGCAGGAAGGCTGTACCTGTGACTTTAGATTTTTTCCCTTCAGACCCTCCTCCAGATCCTCTGCTGGAAAAACTCCAGGCCAGAGATTCACTCTGGTTTTGTGAACGTCCTTGCTCTGGATCCTCAGCTGCAGCTCCGCTCTGGAGACTCCCACTAGCTGCTTGTTCACAGGCCTTGGCCTGCCTCAGGGTCACTCCTGCAGCATTCTTCAGGCGCTATAGTTTCTGCCTGCTGAGACGCTCAGCTGCTCCTCTCTCCCTGCAGCCTGCAGGGAACTGACCCACCTCTGTCCCTCTCCAGGGCCGGAAATACCTTTGAGCGGCCTCTCTCCACCAATCCTGAGTGAGATGCTGCTCTGGAAATTGGGTGGGTATTTTCCTTCCATTCCGGGCCGCGGCTGCAGCCCTGCCGGTCCTCCATGTTGTACATTTGGTCTCACTCCTTCACACAGGCCTTGTGGACTCCTTCGCTCCAGATCCTCAGCTGCAGCTCCACTCCAGAGCTTACCACTAGCTGCATGTTTGCAGGCCTCCACCTGCCTCAGGGTCACTCCCACAGTGTTCCTCAGGCAGGTTCTGCAGTTTCTGCCTGCCAGGATACTCAGCCGCTCCTCTCTCCCTGCAGCCTGCAGGGAACTGACTCCTCTGCCCCTCTCCAGGGCCAGAAATACCTTTGAGTGGCCTCCCTCCCCCAATCCTGAGTGAGATGCTGCTCCGGAAATTGGGTGGGTCTTTTCCTTCCTTTCTGGGCTGCAGCTGCAGCCCTGCTGGCCCTCCATGCTGTAAGTTCTGTCTCACTCCTTCACACATACTTCCAAGCTTGTAGCAAAACCCCAAGGGCTAGTTCGATATGCTTACATGATATCAGACTGTCACAGAGAGTGCCAGAAGAGTAGTTGCTCTGGACCTCCATCTTACTGGTCTCTCTTTGTACCCCTTGAAACCAGCTCAGGAATGGCTTCTAGAATGGGTGGGGAGAGCCCTGGCATTTTCTGACTCTGGTATCCTTGGCTTTTAGTCCCTGGCCCTCTCCAGCTATCCCCTAGCCCCAAAGTTGCACTGCTGTCCCCTCTCTTCAGGCTGTCTTCCCTTATCCAGCCAACACCCTTATCAGGTTGTTCAATCCACTGGTTCTTATGTCAGGGCCCCTTCCTGGGGGCATCTCCAACAAGCTAGTTTCTTCCCTGTTTCCCTATATACTCAATATCCCTCTTGTCTCATACCTCAAGTAGGCCCTGGGGCCTAGCAGGGACTCTTTTATCCCTTCATTCCCTGTGCCTCAGTTTCTTCAGAGAAACCAAAGCATGCATTATTACAACATAAACACAGATAAAACAAAAATATTACAATATCTCAGATGCTATATCACAACAAAAGAAAACCTTCAAGAGAAATTTCTCTGAAAATATATACGCTACGCTAATAAAACTATATTTTAGAGGAAGGTGAGGAAGCCACAGTTGCATGTTCATATGATTCTGTATTCATACAACCCAACTTGTCATAGTACCAAAAAAGCCAACCCCTCCCTCCCCCCAAATCCTCACCAAACCCAAAACCCAATACTGGCAACTCGATTTGGGCTCTGTCCTGAAGGATAAGAATGCATTCCACTATTTTTGGCACTGCTTTCTGGTGGCACTCCTTTTTATGTCAGGAGGAAACTAACTCCTGATGCAGCATTAAGGTGAAGTGGCATGTATATTTGTATACTGAAGGCACTTAAAAGCTAGTATCTGCACATTAAAGTTCTTTAATTCATTCTAAGTGCCCTCTGAGTGCCTCAAAGTTATGCCACTTTAGGTGAAGATTAACTCCGGCCCACGTTACCTAGCTTGTGTTAAGGTAACTTTAGTCTGCTCTTTGGAGATAGAACAAACAATCTGCAGTCCTCTAGAATCCCAGGGCGCACCACTCCCAGCCATCTGTCCCCACACCCAGAGCAAGAATAGAGCGCATGAAACCTGGTTCCTAGTCATGCCCCTTCCTGCCATTTTTTAGTGACAAGTCAGAGATGTGCAGGCAAGAGATGGTATTAACACTTAATCTGTGACTGCTCACAGCACATTCAAACTTTAATATACCACTTAATATTCCAAAGATTTAGTATGGTCTAAGTGTAACGTAACTTTTTCCTTAGAAAGCATTCTGATGTTGAGGATGCCATTATTGGAAGGAGATGTGAAAACGAGGTGCTTACCAGTGCAAGCAGTCCTCACATTTACAACATAATTGGTTCCTGGAAACTATGTCTTAAGTTGAAACGTCATAACTCAAAACCAATTTCCCCATAGGAACAATGTTATATATGGTTCCTTTATGGGGCTCGATACAGCTGCATCCAGCTGGTAAGTGTGCGTTGTGGAAGGGGGAGGGAGAGGGGAATGGGTGTGTGTGGGGGTGCACATCAACACCCCCACAGTGAAAGAGGGATTGCAGCAGGGGCTGGGACAGGGGCTGGGCCAAGCACTGCCCAGCTGGGGCAGGCAGGAGAGGGATGAAGGCATGGCACATCTGGAGGGTGCAGAGGTGAGAGCAGCTCCTGCCGCTGTGTTCTGCTGGTTTGGCAGCTGCTCGTCTGGCAGCTCCGCTGCTGCTCCCACTGCTTGTCTGGGAGGGAACGAGGGTGGGGGCATGTGCCCCCGGATCTGAGAGGTGGGGGCATGTGCCCCCGGATCCGAGTGGGGCTGGAGCTGCACCGCGCTATGCTCTGGGCAGGCAGCAGGGGCTATAGTAAATTTTTGGGTGGCTACAGCTCCCCCATAGCCCCCGCTCTGCCCCCTGCCCCAATCCAGGGGCACACGCTCCCCCCCTCATGCCTCCTACTGCTCACCCCACTAGGGCAGGGCTGGTGCAGGATAGAGCCGCAGCTCATCCAGGGGTCAGGGGGAGGGGGGGGTGGCTGCCACTGCTCCATGCCACTTACCCGGAAGCAGCGCAGTGGCTCCATCGCACACCCACCCGCCCTGGCTGGGCAAGCAGCGGCAGAGCATAGCTGCCGTGCCCAACCAGAACGCAATGCAGTGCAACCCCGGCCCCACCCGCCAGATGCAAATTTGGGGGCACAGCCTCCTCCCCCATGCTCTCCCAGATAAGTGGCAGGAGCTGCCAGACGAGCAGCTCCCAGACCAGCAGTGTGCAGCGACAGGAGCCACGCCCCCTCACCCCCTGGACGAGCTGCGCCTTTGTGCAGCACTTGCCCCAGCCCCTGTCCCAATCCCTCCTTCGCTGTGGGGGGCATTGATCTACCCCCCGCACGTGCCCTTTCCCTCCCCCATTCCATTCTTCCATTCCATAATTCCTTTCTTAAGGTATGATTATTAATGTATGAGTATTATATTACAGATGGGGAAACAGGGCCACAGATGAGGTGCTTTGCTAAAGGTCACAGTTCCAGTCAGTGGCAGAGCCAGGAGTACAAACTAGCTCTCCGGAGTCCCAGTCACATGCTCTCTCCATTAGAGTACCCTATCTACCACAAGGAGACGCATTACTGGACAAGCTTATCCTCTACTAACCACAAAAAAGTCTGTACAATACTGAAATCTTCCTAACTCCTTGGCTCTACCATGCCTCCATTTTGCTTGATAATTATAGCTACTTTGTAAAATCTCTATAAGAATTAAGTCTTGTTATGATTATTTATATTTCTGTGAAAATCTAAGAGCTAGAAAGCACTTAAAATGAGAGATGAGAAATAAAAGGAACAAGAGAATGGGAAATAAGTGAGAGGAGAAATGGAAAGAAGAATAAGAGATGAGAGATGTCATTGACTGAGCTGCCACAGGACCCTTGAATAAGTGCAGCCTTAATCCAACTGGACAGGTAGCATCGTATTAGGGCTGCACTCCTGAGAATTTCAAAGGAATTGTGAATTACAACAATGGGCACTCCTATTGGAGGCGTGGGGAAACTCCTATTACACTTTGCACTGATTCAGCTATGTACATATTGTTGTCAGGAACACATTTAAGAGAGATCTTTTAAAAATGTGTCTATATTTCAGGTCTGGGAGTACAGGAAACAAAAGCACAAGAAAAGTGAATACTGATTCACATATTATATTAATAAGGTGTTTGGTAAAGGGTGTGTCTGATATCAATTAATTTAGGTATCAAAATTCTAAAACTATTCTAACAACATTGTGTGAGGAATAAATCTTTGGTACAAGCCAGAGAAATAATAAGAAAACTTTTTTTCTACCTTTTTCACTCTGTTAAATATGTAAGTTGTGACATGCATCATGTGCTCATGGCTGGTTGAATGGCTTTATATACAACTTAGCAAATGGTGCACAGGACTCTATAACAATGGTGGCCAAATCATGGCTCATGAACTGCATGTGGCTCACCAGCACAGTTCTTGCGGCTCTCTGGGGCTTCTCCACCGAAACCCCGCCCATTTTTCCCCTGGGCTGCCTCCTCAGGGAGAAGTGGGCAGGGCTTCAGTGGAGGACTAACATCACATGCCAGGTCGCCCAGCACCACCGCCTACCCATCCCACCTCTCCGGCTTTAGTGGAGGATCAGATGTGGCTCCCAGGGTAAGTAACTCTGGCCGCCCTGCTCTATAATAGCAACAATCCATTATAAAACACCATATTCTGTATCTAAAGTTCATCAGATTTTCTAGGTCCAAAAGTTAATAACAGACTCAGCTACATTGGAATAAATCTGAAATAACTCAATTTTCTTAAGTGATGTTAGCTTGGATTTTCTATTATCTGTTTACAATTAAAATCCAGTCAACTACTTTCTCATTCAGGACACTAGGTTCATTTTTTGTAATACTAGTCTTGGTAATGATGTCTATATGAGGTACAAAAAATATGGAATCCAGGATCCTAAAATGACCAGATACATTCAAAGTTAAAGGTATCATTCTAATCAGTTTACATTAAATCCAGTTCAAAATAATCAATAATATTTAGACCTCTCTGTATACCTATTATACTTACATACTGATTTTTTAAATTTTTCCATGAATACAGATAACATAATCTAATAATGGTTTAAAGCTGATACAGAATACATCCTTATAGTTCAAACAATTTGCTCATTCAGTTGTCTGGTCCTGCCATTTAAGTAACCAAAACAAAATATATATATTTTGAAAGAATTCTTCTAGCATTAGTAGGATTATAAAAGCTTTAAAAATATTACTTGTAAAGCTGGGGTGAGGGGAGAGGGGGAAGCAGAGGGAGAAACATTGGAAAAGTCTGCATTGCATAAGGACTGCATAAATACCACCCCAACGATATGATCCTCACTCGGCTAATGAAGTCAATAATATAACTAAGTTATTTCACTGCCCACTCTATTGGGTCCATCTTTAACTATTAGCTCTCTTGACAGGGCCAGATTAACCCTTTAGTGGGCCCTAGGCAAACACTCATGGGGACCCTAATTTTTTCACTCAAAAATTATAATAATTAAAACAACTGGGCCCCTTCTTGACTTAGAGCCCTAGGCATGTGCCTAGTTTGCCTATGCATTAATCTGGTCCTGTCTGTTGATATTTATTTAGTTAATGTGAACTGTACTTGTAATTACTTTCATATTAACTACGAGCTGATGGAAGTCCATGATCTATACAAATTAAGAAACATTAGCTTTGGAGGGAGGAAAAAACTGTTCAATGTATCAGTGCAAAAATACTAGAGCCAGAGTTTTTAGTGGCTCAAAATAACTCTATGATAACTTTCCACAAGTATATGTTAATGATGCAACAGTCCTCCTTTATAATATCTCTCTTTGTGGAACATGTAACAAGCTGAAGGGTCTATTTCATTTGATTTATTAATCTCTTAGAGCTACTATTAATGCTGAAATAAAATAATTGTGGTTATTATTACTGTATGTCAATCTGCTACAACATTATACCTGAAGCTTCTTGAGCCATTGTCATAAAACTTCCATTATGTTAGAACTCTATTAGCTACGATTCAGTGAAGAAAAAGCAACTCAATTTTTAGGAAACAACATAAATTATTTTAAAATATATTGAAAACCTGACACCACCTTGAAGTCTAGTGTTATATTCCTCTCATTTTTCATTGTTAATTATAGGAAATAAGCTCCAACCAAGCAGTTCTCTTGGTTTTATTTATGCTTACATTTACATTGCTATTGTTTGTGCTCGTGTCTTCTCCTGGGAACACAGATTTATAGACTCTAAGGCCGGAAGGGACCAGTATGATCATCTAATCTGATCCCCAGAATACACAGGCCATTGAATTTTTCCCAGGAGAAGGATTAAAATGTGTCTATTACAAAAGATAGCTAATCTCAGTTTAAAGATTTCAAGCAATGATGAGTCCATCACCTCCTCTATTGAGCTGTTCCAAAGTTTAATTATGGTTACTGCTAGGAAACTGCATCTTATTCCAAGGTTGAATTTCCCTAACTTCAGCTGCCACTCAGTCGATCTTATTATGCCTTTACAAGGCTGAAACACTACTGTAGTTCTTCCATATGCAAGAATAAATACAGCAATCAACTCCATCCTCCACCTTCTCTGATAACCTATATAGATTGAGCTTCTTAACACCTCTCATTGTAAGACTTGTTTTCTAATCCCTGGATCATTTTGTGGACATTAATTGAACTGCTTCCATTATGTCCAAACTCTTTTTGAAGAGTTGACACTAGGGTTAGACTCAGTAGTCTACAAACAGTCTTACAACTGCACATTGAAGTATGACCCACTTGGTATGCCTACTGTCAGAAAAAACAGTAACAATTTTTGGATAAATGGGAATAAGCCAGAACATACCATGCAAAATTTGCTCTTTCCAGTACAAGGAGAAAGAAGAGGGATGGGAATATTCTAACTTTGGCAAGATTGCAACATCATGGATTTGGAAGGATCTCTTCATCAGAACCTGAATGGGACATGAATTGCTTATTATGAACGCAAACATATAGAGAGTAAAATATTATATTATATTATTATTATTATTATTATACACACACACTGGCTCTCATGTTATATATTTCATCAAAAGATCTCAAAGTGTTCTACCAAGTGAGAATCACTATCTCCGTTTTACAGATGAGATGGCTGAAGCACAAAGGAGTTCAAGGCTGCCTGCCAGGCCTTGTTCATAGCTGGGATAGAACTCATGTCACCAGAGTTCCAACCCAGTGCACTATCTACAAAGTTTTACTGCCTTCCACAGAATGAAATGCAGATTGCATTACAGATGTGCTCACCATTTTCTAAACTGTGTTGACTGATAAGCATCACACAATTTGAAACAAATTTCAATTCAAATGAAGGATTAACAAATAATCAAGGGGGTTGCCCACTTTTTCATGGACCAGTAGCTCATGTGCTTGGACAGGGCTGCAGGATTAGTCAGGATACTGATACATAGTCATGGTGACGTGTTGTTGGCAAGTTGGGCATTTTTACACATGCTCCAGGGGTTTGTGGGGGGTGTTTTAATTATAGATTTCATAGACATTAGGCTGGACGGGACTTCAGAAGATCATCGAGTCCAGCCCCCTGCCCAAAGGGCAGGAAGTCAGCTGAGGTCATAGGATCCCAGCAAGATAAGCATCCAATTTACTCTTGAAGGTGTTGAATGTAGGTGCTTGAACCACCTCCGATGGCAGGCTATTCCAGACCTTGGGGGCTCGGACAGTAAAGAAATTCTTCCTTATGTCCAGTATGAAATGGTCTTGCAGTAGTTTATAACCGTTTGACCTCATCATCCCTTGGGGCACTCTGGTGAATAAACATTCACCCAGGTACTGGTGGTCACCCCCGATAAACTTATAGGTGGCCCTTTTTTAGAGCGTTTAATATATATATGCAGCATTTCTTTCAGGAAAAATAGTCCTTAGGAACTCAATAAGCTTTCTTTAGGAATGCAGATAGGCATTGCAAATATCAATTCCTTCAAGGGAAATTCAGTTGGGTCTTTGCAACACAACAGAGGCTATCAGGCACAATGGGTGCCTGTATACGAGTCGGGAGGCTGCTCTGACGTGCTGTAATTATGCACTCATGCATGTGCGTGTGTTAATTAATACAGTTTAAATTGCCTAATTCATACTGCCCTACTCTGCATTAACTTTTAGCGTCATTCAATGAGGATTAGTTCATTCAGACTGGAGAAAATTTTAATTTGGACCACAGACGTCCACGTGTATATAGTGATAGCTGTAGTCTGAATTAAACCTAGAAAAACATAACATCTATAAACAGCCATTGTGTACACAGCATACAAGACAAAGACCCTTTTTAGATCAAGTGCCTTGTTTACCCAAGACGCAAAGCTGGACAAAAGGATAATAAGCTATTATGTGCCATTTCTTCTGAAAAAAGGGTTAATAGTGCTAATTTCTTCTGAAATTCATGTTTATTGGAAATACCAAAGTATATTAAATTACAAATATCTTTGAAAAGCCACCATTGTGTGTGGTATCAAAGTTCTGCTTTGATATAGCCATTGGGTTTAACTAGACTGAAATGCATTCAAGACACAATGGTGAATACTTATATTTCAGAATTTTTAAATACTTTACTTAAATTGCATCAGAATCTTTAAAATGTGAAAGCTTGTTTAGATTTCAATCAATAGTTTCTATATAAGAAATATCCAAATAAATAC